TTACCTCAGAGCAAATGGACTCTCCCTTCCCACATCACGCACATGTGCAGTGACAAGAACAGACTCATGTTAGCTGGCGGTCTAATGTAGTGTTGTCACGAAGTTTTCGAAACAGGAACAATGGAATTGGATAAAGATTGAATGTGCCAGAGGCCGTACAGCACAACAGTGTCATCAAGGTCTTCAAGAGGCTTGCAGGGAATCTGCATTGCCTTACAGAACAGTGGCAAGGTGGGTAAAAGCCTTCAACGAGGGACGCCAAAATGTGGCAGACATGCGTCGGCCAGGTCGTCCTAGTGTCACTGAAGAAGAAGTGTATGCTCTTTCCGCGTTATTGGAGAGTGATCGACGCCATACAATTCGTGAGCTGGCCCAAGAGACAGGATTAGCGCGTATGACTGTGCTTAACATTCTGAAGGAACGCCTGGGCATGAGAAAAATTGCATCACGATGGGTTCCGCATGATTTGACGGAAATGCAGAAATGGCAAGCTGTGGGTGTGACTGGGAAGTGCTGTACCATCCACCTTACTCCCTGGACTTAAGCCCTTGTGACTTTGATTTGATTCCTAAGATGGAGGAACCACTTTGTTGCATTCACTTCAGAACTGTTCCAGAGATTCTTTAGGCAGTAGACCGCTCCATTCAAACTCAACACAACAGGCGCTGCTAAAGGTATCCTATGACTTCCACATCGCTGGCAGCGGGTTGTACACAGTGCTGGTGACTACATTGAAGGATAGTAAAACTTCAAAACATGCATCAATTTTGTATCAGTTGTGAATAAATAGTTGCCACTGTTAAAGTTCCAACCCTCATATGAAACAATCTTATTGCATAACATGATGCACTTAGCTTAAGTATCTTTTCTTCTGTATATTTCTTGAAATTTAGGTGTTATTACAGATATGCTAGGCTTGCCTCACGAATGGAGAGGTGATGCCATTTCATTTTTAAGAGAAGCAGTTTCTAGAAAATTTCTTGATATTAAGACCATCCCAACCACTGAAACTGATATAAAAAGTATAATACATTCCCTCAAAGCTAAAAACTCCTAGGGTTATGATGGAATAACAAAATCTTAAAAGTTTATGCATCTCTAATTAATCACTCATTAACTCACATCTGTGATCACTCACTACTCGCATGGATCTCCACTGATCGTCTTAATATTTCAATAATAAGACCACTATACAAAAAGGTGAACAAAACTAGTATGTCAAACTACAGGCCAATCTCACTTTTAACTACCTTCTCTAAAGTACTTGAGAAAGTTATGCACACTAGGTTAAGCCGTTATTGTCCGACTAATAGCACACTAGCCCCAGAACAGTTTGGCTTCAGGAGAGGAGTGTCCATTGAAAATGCAGCCTTTAAAGTAACCAACACTATATTAAAATCTGTTAATAAAAAAGTGCATGTTGGCAGAATATTCTGATTTGGTGAAAGCTTTTGACAGTGTAGATCAATAAATACTATAGACTAAATTACAGTCTTGTGGCATTCAAGGGGTAACAGCAAATTGATTCAGATCCTACATAACAAATGGAAAACAAAAGGCTGAAATAAAACCATCAAACTCACCCCAAAATGTGTTCTCAACCTGAAGAACAATAAAACATGGAGTTCCCCAGGGGTCAATTTAAGGGCCTTCTATTTTAATAATTTATATAAATGACCTCCCTCCCCCAATGAACACCTCAACACCCATAATATTTGATGATGACACTAGCATTATAATTTCTAGCAAAAATTTAGATGATTTCTGCACACTATCAAACAAAGTTCCTTAATGAGTTTCAGCAAAGAAGCTGTCCCTGAATAAAAAACTAAACAAATATAATAAAATTTATAACAAAAAATTCACTGCAATATCGATTAGACATTGGATGTAACGATTATCATATAGAAGAGGGAGTAAATACAAAATTCCCTGGTCCACTTACTGATAATCACCTAAACTGGAAAACCCATCTAGATCAGCTGGTTTCAAAGTTAAGTGGAGCATGTTATGCAGTTAGATTTATGTTGCATATTAGCAACATTGACACTCTCAAATAAATCTACTTTGCTAGCTTTCACTGTCTAAAGAAGTATGGAATAATTTTGAGGGTAATTCTTCTGACAGTAAAATGCTAATTATATTGCAAAAGAATCAAATCCTGTAACTGTTGTAGAGACCTATTTAAGAGGCTACAGATCTTACCGTTTCCATATGAATATATGTATTCATTGATAAACTCCATCACCAGTAACGTTGATATTTTCAGGGCAGTACAGATGTGCACAGTCTTAACACAAGACACAAGCACTGTCTTCATAAACCAACTGCTAACCTGTCATGCTTTCAGAAAAGTGCATATTTTACTGGGATCAAAACCTTCAATAAACTGCCACTGGATATCAAAAGTCTTATGAAGGAAGAATCATGACTTAAAATAGCACTGAAAGGATACTTTTTTATGGCTAGTTGGGTGGGACTAAGTCCCTTGTACTGCGGCCACTTTTGGCCTATTGTACCAGCCCCAGATGATACGTGAGGGTGATTGTGGAGCAATTGATGGAATGAAGATTGGCAGGGGAAACCGACGTACTCAGAGAAAACCTGTTCCAGCACCACTTTTTCCACAACAAATCCCATTTGACCAGACCCGGGATCGAACCCAGGCTGCCGCGGTGGGAAGCCAGCGACTAACTGCTTGAGCTATGGCGCGGCCTGAAAGGATACTTAATTACACACTTGTACTACTCTGTAGATGAATACCTATTGTCTGAATAGTGACTCATCTGTGTGAGGATTTTATAAATAGCACAAGTTGACAACATGAGATTTAAAGGTTGTATACATGTTATGAGTTGACAGTGTGATGTATGTGAGTGGTTGTATCTCTGAATAACCTTATGTGTAACCACTGTTGCTATTGCTGTTTTTAGATATTCTCTGTATGTATGTGACATGTTCCCCATCCTGCCATCATTTGACTAACTTTGGATCTATGGAATGCAATGTAATGTACCTGTATATTATCAATTTTCAAAGCTTAACAGTTTTGTATTTGTAGTCTGTTATTTTCTTTATACATAATAATATTTAATGCATTCTCTGGTGAATTATTCATTACAGATTTTATAAAAAATTTGTTGACATTTGTTTTATAATTTATTCTTTCCTATCAGTAAGCTTACCTGCGTATGTTGATCATGTATGTGTGGCCTGAAATGCTGAATAAGCAGCTTTCAGTCACTTAAATATATAACAGTGCTCTCTTGACTTGCGTCACTGTAATATCAAATGGCTTAATCAGTTTGGGATCAGTGCCAGTGTTTGCTGCAGTAAGTGATGTGGTGGGGAAGAGGATAACCCTTGTTGACATATCCATGCATCATAAAATCAGTGCTCCAAAACAGTGACAAATGACTCTACTGGCATATAACGTCATGTAGTCTGATGAAAGTTAACCGACATTTAAGGGGAAAATGTCACCTACATCTTCAGTGTCAAAAATAAACAAAGCAAAAATCCAGTGGGGAACAGGAGGTAAACTTCAGACTGGCTTATGATGGCTTATTCTTTGACTCTGAAGATGGAAGCAACATGTTCCTCTGAAACATCAGTCGGCTTTCAAGAGTCAACATGATGTTATATCCCGGAAGATAGAACTCGGCAATTTTTCTTAATGCCAAATACAAGTAATTAGCTTGTGGATCTTAGAACGCAATATTTCGCCTCCTTGAATAAGTTCTGCCAGAATCTGATCACCACTTGGCGATATATACCGTTTTCAATTTTGCAATCCTCAAAAGGGCTGGGATGAGGTACTAACAGCTCCACTGTATGGATTTCTGTCTGCCTAACATCACTGACCCTATGTACATTCAATAACTGAGAGAAGTAGTTCCTCCAACTATTCAAAATGCTGTATGAATCTGCAACCAGATCACCATTCTCATCCTACATAAGTTACATCTAGGTTGCTAACACCACTTAAAGTCATTTATTTCTCTATACAGGTCTCTAATGTTCTTGTTCTTACTGTTCAATGCAAGCTCATCAATTTTGTTTTTCAGATATTCCCTCTTTTTATTCCTGAAACGCCTGCTGGTTTCACATCTTATATTGTTCAGATTATCCCCATTTATTTCACTTGTATCCTGTAATCATTGCAATTTGGCTTGTTTTCTTTGATCTAATGATTCTGACCATCCTTCATGAAACCATGGCTTATGCTTCATCAGTTCATAATAACCTACTCTCTTTGGCAGAAATTTTTATATTCTCTCCAATAGTTTCCAAAGCTTTATTAACATCCACCTCATGTCCAAGTTTTCCAAAGCCGTGAACCTCTTAAAGATTTCAACATAGTACTGCTCTTTACCCTCTACCTCATTTAATTTCTTGTGATTTAAACGCAGAGTAGCAACGGGCATTTAAACGCGCAGCACCAGCGGGCATTTAAATAAACTTCGGCCAGCTCAAGCTTACCACTATTTCAGAAGTCTGGCGTTTAAAGGTTAACTTCTCCATATGAACTCTGCATGTTGTTTGTTTGCTCACTGCGAGCCTTTCCCTAACCTTTTCCACCACCAGGTTGTGGTCAGTATCACAATCTGCTGCCATGAATGATCGGACATCAAGTNCATATCCATGCATCATAAAATCAGTGCTCCAAAACAGTGACAAATGACTCTACTGGCATATAACATCATGTAGTCTGATGAAAGTTAACCGACATTTAAGGGGAAAATGTCACCTACATCTTCAGTGTCAAAAATAAACAAAGCAAAAATCCAGTGGGGAACAGGAGGTAAACTTCAGACTGGCTTATGATGGCTTATTCTTTGACTCTGAAGATGGAAGCAACATGTTCCTCTGAAACCTTTTTGTTTCATGTATTACATCTGTTCTTATGCTAAATAAAGTTAAATCGGCCATCATGGCCGATCATGGCTATGATCAGAACGGGAACGTGTGTGAGAGGCCTAACAAACACCAGAAGTAAATAGAATAGATCTCTAGGTAATAGTGAGCCAAAGGCAGGGCCCGTAAGCAAGGTCCTCCGTGAACTTCTTACAGATTAAACGGAATTGTTGAAAATTCTGGAAACTCCTTTTTATGCCATATAAAATATGAATAAATTAAAAATTTGTAGTACATAGAAATACATCTCTACATGTTGGTGGCCGGTCGGTTTTGGACTAGCGTCCAAGCACGTCCCCTAGCAGACGTCCATTCGCAGCCAGGTTGAACCTCCGAATAGCGTTTTAAAATGCAATTTTGTTTTGCTTCTGATTTGAGGAAATCTCTCCATGAAAGCCTAAATTAATTTACTTCAAGTTTAATTTCTAGCTTTCAGTTTGGTCTTGTTTAACGCATAGCTGAGCCAGTACAGCGACTAGGCTACGGACTGGATAACTGGAAAATCGGGATTCTGTTCCAAGCTGGGTCAGATGTTTGTTTTTCTCCACAATGTCCAGACTGAATCTGAGGCCAATCCAGCTTCCCATCTAGTGGATTATGGGAATGTAAAGCAAACCTCTCACTCCCATCCAGTGTCGAGATTAAGAATACATATATGTACTTCCATTCTTCCTTACGTCTTCGTGGCATGGTGCTTAGTTAAGTACAGGGGCAACTTTACCTTAATTAGTTGACAGATGGGAATTACCACAACAGTTTGTCTTTAAGCAAGTAATAGAGAGATCAGTGCGTTGTTCGTTGAGGTATTATTTTGTCAACATTACAACACCCACAACCAAACAGGGAACACACAACACGAGACACGATATACCCTGAGAATAAGAGGAACGACTCCCATAGTGGTGAAACTATGCGTGGTGCTAGAATTGGGACAGATAAGATAAATAATCTTAACAAGTTTTTAGTATATATATTTATTATAATTGACGAACATTTTAAAATACTTTTTAAATTTTACAATGATGTAATGGCAAGCAATGAAATNCTGTGGCAACAGGTATAGGAGACTGATAACAGCTGATAAAACTGTGAACCCTCAATCTGCAAATAGTGATAAAGTGGATTTATGTGTAGTGCTGTAGATGTGTGGAGCGAAGACAAGCATCCTTATGAGAGATGAAATAGTGCAACGCCTTGGTTGAATTTGAGAATCGCAGTGATGAGCAAGTGCGGGATGCGTCTGTGTTTTATATTGGTAAATGTGAATGCTGCAGTTTTGAGGATACAAGGTGTGTATTTATACGTCAGTTACATAGATACACATATTTTTCTTCTTTTGTCCCTGAAAACCATGAGCCGTGCTTTAATGGAACTTCTCATCCTTTCTACAAACGAATCAAGATTTTGGTAGCGGTAACTGTAATAGATCTTTCGACGGTTTTCCGTCTGAAACAATTCTTCCTCCCTGTTCCTTGACATTTATTTATGCATTGCTTTATTATGCAAACGCTTAACCTACTCGAGATAAGCTCTGATTATCGCTATCGTGTCCTTGGGCCATACATTTGGGTCCTAAAGTCTGACCAGGCATGTGACTTGTCACAAATTAAAGGCGTTTTCCTTTTTCAGTATAACGAGTTATAAGGGATAGGATGCACAGGAAGTTCTTTCAGTACCAATCTATCTAAGCCGTAGTCACAGGCGAGGCCTAGCAACCGACTCATGGCGGTATAAACGCAACACATTTTGTAGGTGAAATGCCGCAACAAAAATTAGGTTAGTACACTTAGAATGAACTAATCTCGATCCATAGACACGGATTACATAACTAAAGATGAGAAAATTTTCGTATAAAAATGGGTTCCCAACGCTTCCTAACAGATGCAAGCGATTTATAACTTTATCCCCAAGGGTTGTTACTAATGACATGCAACGGTTTTCCAGAATATTTTTATTGCTGAAAATTATTCTTAATCTGCATTAGAAAATATATAAACTTTTGAGATCATAAAAAAAAACATTTTCTTGTGGGAGTAAAAGTAAAGAAAATTCCAGTTTTCAAATAATTTTTTTGTGAAGTGTAGTAACAAACAGTAAAATCCTTCCACTGTTTCCAAAATAAGTCATAATTATTCTAAAGCGCCACTGCACGGAGAACAACGTAGCAAGGTCTGGAATGATCTGAATGTCGTCGGCATGCTCGGTTATGAAAACTCGACTGACGAATCACATTACATTTCGGGTAATCCAGCAAATAATAATTCACTGGATTAAGATACGGAGATATTTTTGTTCAGGGCACAGATTCGTTTCGACCAGTCTATCAGGATAGTACTTTTGCAGATAACTGGTAACCAACCTGGTTTAACGGGCTGGTTTGCATCGTGAATCAACCACAATGTTCCATCAGCAATGGCGACTGTTCTCGCGAGAACTCGGAGTAGAGAGCACTAACGATCTGGTGATGTAACCCATGTGGAACAATCAGATCGCTCCGACACGTTTGTGGAAATCTGATACTGAAGGTGCTGAACACTGAAAATTTGAGGGGGGAGGTCCTCTTCTGGTGACTAAGGAAATTATGCGTATTTGTAACTCCACCTCTCGAAATTTTGCTTCGTCTCTGAAAAGAACTCTGGAAATTAAATCATGACTTCCTTCGTGTTAATTCAACAACCTGTTTCAGAAATGCAAATGATTTTCTGCCAGTGTCCCGACCGAGATTTGAACCGAGCAACTACCGAATACAAATTTACAGCGTTATCTGTGGACCAGCTTGTTTGGTTCCTCATCATATAGCTGTTCGCTATTCTTCGAGAAATTGTCGCTAGGGCATTTGCAGTGAGACAGGGCTTCTACTTTCTGTAACAGAGATGCAATTATTTTTTTTCTCCAGTAATGTTACTACCACTTCGAGTGGCCGTGTGGTCAGAGGCGCGTACCGTCTTCGTTCTTTACAAAACCGGGTTCGGGGCGTGGATGTATGCGTGCGTCTTTTCTCTATACGTTGTCATCTGTAGATCGATGTGTTGCTATTGGTCGATCCCCCGTCCAAAGATTCATAACAATCATATGTAAAATTCGAAGTTTCCGAAGCTAATCCTGAATGGGAAGAGGTCTGGAGACCTAGCTTGTAAGAATATATCCAGTTGCTTCGGTTATTCTTGAATAAGTAAACAGATCAGAGTCTACTTAAGGCGGGGCCCACACGAGCGCACAAAATGCGTCCGTTGTAACGAACGTCGTGACGTCCGTTGTAGAAATAAATAAGAGGCGAATGCTACGCTTTCTTCTGGCTCTATTGCAGACAAAAACTACGCACCGCATTCTGCAGCTGTGTGGTGTCCTCAGCAACGGCTGTCATAAAGTACGTTCGTTGCAACGGACGTACTTTGTGCGCTCGTGTTGTGGCTCAGATGCGTCACTGGAAACAAATAGATCAGGATACAAGAATGTACTGTCGTTATAACTCATTCAGAATGGCTACGTAGTGAATGTAAACAAACGAGCGGCAGACGAGTTAAAAGCATACTTCACAATGCGCCGACAATTGCGCAATGTCCGTTATGTCGTAACATACTTCTGCTGGATGAAGAGGGGCATAATGTGGACCACTTGAGTGTTACTTCGTCTTACAAGCCGATAAGAAGCGAACACGCCGTCCCCTGTGATGATATTTTCTTTACAAAGTACTTCTCAGACCTTCTGAACAGAGTATTAGATAGTTTTCAGTGAATGCATCCGATTGTGTATCATATATTATTTCTTACTGAAAACCGTCGTAACACAGCAATCAATAATACGTATAAGTAGCTCTAGGAGATACTTTTGTTACATTTTACCCACGAAATACCATAGAGCAAATATCGAAACCCTCTGTAAAGAATAATACGCACAAGAAAATTGGACCACCTTTACCTTTTTCGGACCCGAAACTAGAACAATTATTAAATTATTTAAGAATACTGAAGTTGGTATCTCATTTATAACCAGGAACAATATCAAACACTTATTAAGAATACATAAAAATACGAATGATAAGTTTAACTTAAGTGGAGTTTACCAATTACGGTGTGAAAAATGTCCACATAAATATATAGGACAAACTGGGCGTACATTCAAAATTAGATTTAAAGAACACACAAGACACATAAAGAACGGTAGACAAAATTCCAAATTCACCAAGCACATAGTAGACACTATCCACGAATATCGAACAATAGATCAAACTATTGACATTTTGTACTTCGGAAAGAAAAGACAAATGTTAGATATTCATGAAAGATCCTATATTAGACATGCTGTTCAATAACGAAAAGTTTTATGTATTTACTTGATGATGGCCTTTTGAAGGCCGAAACATGTAGCATAAGTATCTCCTAGAGCTACTTACAATTATTATTGATTGTTGTGTTATGACGGTTTTCAGTAAGAAATAACAGAGTATAGATATATCACTCACTAATTCATCTCCGTGTCGCGGATCCCTGATCCCAGTCTCCCATGCTGCATTCATCTAGCCATTTGCTGCGTTCTTCAGAAAAGTAACCACCGCCACAGGACACCGCAGTTGACAGAATTGTGACTCGGTGATTTTATTTAGCGACAATTATTGTCTTGTGTGGATCTTAGCATTTTCTCCTATGAATACAAGTATCGCGTCCAGCACAGAGGATGATTTTTGATGCTCATCCTGTGCATATCATTGAGCCTCATTTGATCAACTAGTATATTTATTGTCATGACTTTTCCTTAATTGTTGTTCATTTTTAGTTTTTTAACTACATTTTGAATAGCTTCGATTTTATACCGTTGAGTTCTGTGGTGATTACTGAATATTACGTTGGAAATCATCCAACGTGAAGTGCTATCCCAACATTGGCTGGAGGAATTGAGGAACAACGTGAAATTCCTCAGTCAGAATATTCAGACCTTAAGCAGAGATCTGAATCCAGGATACCTCACAAAGAAGGAAGTCCTGCCAACGTGTTATTTTCGGTTGTTACCCAGTTCTGGAGTCGAAGTTACTCTTTTGACAGACTAGTTCTGGGGCACTTATGTTAAGCTGAACCCACCCTTGTGAAAGCGAGGATGACAAGTTTCCGGATGTCATTTAATTATACATATAAATTGTGCTGCTCCCCTTGCTATACCAAACGTTTGACTTAGCACTTTGGAGGAAACATCCAGAAACGTTTGTTTTGTGCACAGATTTTGTGAAGTGTTACCGCTGGTGTGAGTTAGGAGGAAAATAAATGATGGCAGCTACAGCCATTCCAGTGTACAGGAGGCTGAGGCCTGACACACCTGACCTAAGGTAAGATCATAGCATTTGGTATGAACTTCTTTTAAGTTTTCAGCGTGGAGTCTCCCCTCAAGTTGAGTTATTCCAAGTGCCCAGAGGGAGATGAGGTGAAGACCCTCGAGCACTTTCCTTCTCACCATTTAATGCAACATTGCCATCCTTCTTCTCTTTAATGTTTTTAAGTAACTTTCCTTCCTTTATTGCTAATGCTGCTGCTTCATGATCGTCTGTCAAACCAAATATTGTCACTTCAGGGTTACTTATGTCTGTGTTATTGCATGACAGTCTTGAGACAAAGTCTGTTGGTAGGGTAAAGACACCCTAATCTCGGGCAGTGAGGTTTTCCAGAAGGTAAGGGCAGCAACACTGTGGTGGACAGAGGACCTTACACTGCCTGTCTAACCAATTTCTCAGCAGTGGTAGATTGGGGGTACAAGTAGCAGTGTTGTTGTACTGTGACTGTATTTATTTATGCCAATTCTGATGCAATATTTTCGGTTACAGAGCTAAGGTTCCGAAAGCACACATGAGTTTTGACTTTCAAATGGTTTATATGAACTCAATTATATAGGGCAAATGGGGGAGACATATTGCGGTTTTTGAAAAGGTGGCAAAAAACGCTTAATTTTTTTTTTTAAGAAAATTAAAATATTTATTAGTTGACCAATACTTCTGTTATAAGCACAGAATCTACAAGACTTGGATCTTATATGATTACCAGTTCAAAGTAAAGAAAGGACTGCACTTGCGGCACCTCTCCCTAAGGTGCGGGCAAGATGCAGCAGCAGCAGGCCTCTTCACTGTTTCTTTCACCTTATCCCTTCCACATATATTACAAAACAACCATGCATGGTACAGAATTCATGCAACAATTTTCTACACTTTCCATATATGACCAGTGCAATTTCATCAACAAAACTCCCATTACTGAACCCATCTTTTGTGGACATGACCATGCATCTGGTAAAATAAATGTCAAAGTGTGTGTATATGTATGTGTATATTGGTGCACAACAGTCTTCAGTGGAGCTTTACAATATTATTTGTTGAATCACAACTTAGAGCATGCTTTCACGCAAATTCCATGACATGTTTCAGCCACACAGAGCAATCATCAGTTGTATATGAAGGTTTTAATGTATTATTATTGTCAGGTGTAGGAGGGTATGCATGATGAAAATAACGGGTTCTATTTCAGATGATTGGATTTGTTAGCACTTAGGTTACAAGTGCTCTCTTAACTACAATCAATACAACACTGTCACTGATTTATACACTTTCAAGTCCACCATTGCACACACACTAGGATTTCAAGTCTTCACTAGTTGTCTCCTGGCAATGGATCTCAACACAGAAACTAGCACTTCAAATCACTATGAAGTCTTCTTGTCTTCAGTCACAATTCACAAAGGACGTGCACCATTCTCGTCCTTGTACGTTCCAGTGCTCTGCACTTCTCAGGCTTACTTCTTGCTTGCTGTACTCCTCCAGCTTACCGCTACATTACTACCGCTACTACTCAGCTTAGGAATTCTGCTCACTTATACAGACAATGCACGGACATGGAACTACAGAAAGCACATAACATGATCGCTATCCAGCCAGTCGATTGGCGCTTGGGCTGGACCTACAGAAAACACCTGTCACGTGATTGCTAAGCACTGTTGTATGAAGTCATTGCACATGAACAAGCTGCACAGACAAAAAATGCTGCTATATTATTGGCCATGTGTGCTGCAGGTGTTGTCTGGCAGTGGATTTACATGTCACATTATGTAAACTCTGAGGGATGTGCATTGAAAGAGTTTATTATTTAAAAGAAATGGTTGTGTTAAAATAATTTAATACATAAACGAATTTTAAAATGATTTAAAATTATGTGAAATTATGCAAGACAATGTAAATGATTTGTTTGTTTGTTTTTTCCTGGTGTTCTTCCTTGTGTTCTGTTTTCTGCAGTGATGTGTATTTTGTGGATGGTATCTTGGTTACTTATGTTCTGGTGGTCTGTATATGTCTGCGTGTATGTGTAGTCGGCACACGCGCCCACACACATACACACATCCACAAGAACACGGGTAACCACGAAATAAAGATTCCTGCAAAAAACAGAACACAAGAAAGAACACAGGGCAGACAATAAGCCATTTTACATCATTGTACAACAGTTCACCAAATTTAAATTATTTTAAAATAATTTTGTATATTAAGTTACTTTAACAGAAACAAATTTTGCTTAAACAACAAACTTTTTTGATGTACCACCATCACATGCCATGTAATACTACAATAGAGTTTAACAACTTACACATTCCATCATATATGGCCCAGAAACATTTTGAACTTATGAGTACATGAAAGCATACACTAAGCAGGGATTCGACAAATAATTCTGTGAATGTGCACTGAAGACTGCATTGTATGTGTGTATATACCAAGTAATGAATTAATGCAGCAGGATGCTCAACTGAATATTATGTCAAGTATTTTTTGAATAGTACTGATGGGAGCATTTCGGAAAATATCTCGCCACCTCTGCCTCATCAGGTCCACTTGCCTACCAAGGTATCTACTGTGCGATATGTGCCGCACAGTGGTTGGACCCGTTACATACCAGCTCTGCAGTCTTTGGCTCCATTCAGAAGAAACCGTAGGTGAGTATAAGTACCATTCTCAATGTCAGCTTTTAATGGGTTAAATTCCTCTCAGAATTTACATAAATCCATCCACTGGGTCTTTGTGGCTATAGCGCAGTGAATTAAAAACTTTAAGTTGACTACCCGTTTATGAAATTCATGAAAGTATGGGGCAAGAGTCATTATTCCCATCCATCACAGTATTAGGCATAGTTGACTCTTTATTCATATCACTAAACTAAATTTTTCCGTTTACATGTCTTCCTTATTATAGTCCTTTTTGGGTAAATAATTTATTAATTACTTTGATATACTATCAACAACCAGACCTACAAAAAAGATGTGTCCATCAACTTCTTGAGGTACACCTCACTCATATGAACAATTAAGTTACTGTGGATTAACCATTATATAAATGCTGTGGGAAATTTTGGCTCATGGAGCCTGTACATGACCTCAAAAGTAGCAACCCACCACTACAGTAAGGCAAATTTTAGAGAAACTTTGTTTATAAAGTAATATGTTTCAATTCCATAAAGTATTACAAGTTGGCAAAGAAACGTAGTAATGGGCAAAGTACTAAATTAAAATACAATTTGATGCAACTAGAGGTACAAAAATAAAAATATATTGTAACCTTAGAAAAACAGATGTAGTAACAATGGTACACACATAAACCATATATACAACTTACATGTGATACGTGACATGTATTATTACATAAAGGTAGTGACGCAGGTGATAATACTTAGAGAAATCAATCTTATTGACCTTCATGTTAATAATAATAAATTTATGAACACTTATATAATTCTGAAAGCTTATATAATTAGGTATATTTTATAGTTACCTAGTCATGTTTTAAAAATGTACTTTAAATTCAATTTGTGAACATAATAAGCCTACTACCTAACTTTTATGGGTATGTAATACAATTATATATATTCCCACATGTTAGTGACTAGACACGGGGTTTGGATTCATAATTGGATTTATTGAATGTCTACATTTTGTAACTATAAATAATTAAGAATATTTTCACCAAGTTACACACTCTCCAAATCACTACTGCAAACATTGAGTGTTATATACCTTCACTAGTCGTTGCTTGGTAACTGCATCTAACAATGGCTATTCCTCAAATTCTGTGCTCACGGCAAACCACCAACTCTGAGTGTCAACTCACGACTGACTGACTGACTGCTAAATTTCTAAATTTCTTCAGGCTCTTGTGAGCACTGTGACTCTTTGTTCCTAGTCCCTTGGGACTTATGACCATATTTTACTGCCTAATGGCTGTGGAAGCCTTTAGAAGTAACAGCCTGTCGATCTTTTGGTCAGTTAAATTGCTGCTGATCTCCACCAGCACAGCAACTGCCTGCCTTGGCAGCCATGATCATTGTTTTGCTTTTAAGGTCCTTTGAGTGTTTTAAATGGGGCATCATCTCAACGAGAGGAGGGGTCTAACTACTACTGGTCACTCCCCTTCTGCTGGGGGTGACTCGAGTGACCACTCACTCACTAATTGGTCCTGCCTTGCACACACACACACACACACACACACACACACAGCAACCAACTCTAACTTATCTCTCTCCTGACTGGCCTGCTGGCTGCTAAATTGATGCTGGTCCTTGTCACCACAGCAGTTCTTGGTTCTGAGTCCCACAGGACCCATGTCCATATTTTACTGTCTGACTGTTCTAGGAGCCTTCAGGACCACGACTTCTCCACTGACTCCTCTGTTTGTTCTCAATATATAGCCGTGGCATGGACCACATAGGAGCACCACTCTCAAGAATTCCTTCATTGTTCAGTGGTGTGTTATGCAGGCTATGGTCTATAGATGGTCTTGGTACTGTTGGCATGGGAATGTTTTTTGGTTTTTGAAAATATAGCAAAGTATATGACATAACACTCTATGTGATCTATAGAGTTAAATACAAGCATCAGCAACTCATAGGTGGGACTATCTAATTCGAATGTATCCCTGCTACAGGTTGTTTCTTATGCTTTCCTAACAAGTGATTTTACAGTGCAGGATCGTTAACCCTGCGCCCAAACCCCTTCAATCCTGGAGGATCGATGTTTTCTGTTGGAGTTATCTCCCCTAGCTGGCTTATCCCAATTTTGGAGCATCAGGAACTCGCCTTTTCACCCTTGCATGACATACCGTTACTCAGGAGTCATGATGAGGACATGCATGCATCAGGCTGAGTAGAAATAACTAGCATTACTCAAATTTTAATGATATTGATCTGCCAGCAGGATGAATACCCTTGAGGCCACATACTACCCCTTTGTCTCCCGTGAGAGTAAATATGCACTGAACTTACTTGCGGTGAAACTGGTTTCGACATTTGAGAGTTGATCTGGACTTTGTTTTGTGCAGTGGCTTTCTTGTGTTGGTCAAGAACCAGACTGATCTTAATGGTTACTTAAAGATGTGGAATGGTACAAGGATAAGGAAACAGTCTTGTATTTCAGGTCTATCCAAGACCTTCCTGTCGACAGGGTGGGGCTATTCTCATATGTTACTTTCAGCTGGCTACGAAAAACTGTTAGCCAAATAGATGAGTATAGCCTGCCAACATGCTCATCATTTGACTCCTGTGATATTAATGGACAAAGGTGAGCCTCAGTGGCAGCTACATTAAACTAGTGTATATGTTAGATTTATATTTGTAAACTGGTATACTTGTGAGAATTATCATGTTTGTTGTGTTTTATAAACTGGTTCACATATTGTGAGAATACAACATTCACTATGTTCTGTTAAATAGTGTGTATGGCATAAGACTTACAAAGTTTATTGTTTTGCATACTGATATGCATGCTCTGAGGTTTTCTGGTGTTTATAGTGTTTTACAAACTGCTGTGCATGCGTTGAGAATTCTATGTTCATTATGATTCATATACAGGCGTACAAATTGTGAGAGTTATGATGTCCATCATATTTCATAAACTGGTGTATGTTGTGAGATTTATAATATTCATGTGTTTTATAAACTGATTGCATATTGTGAGAGTTATGACATTCATTGTGTGTTATTAACTGGTGTTATGAAATCTATAATGTTCATATATGTGATAAACTGGTTGATGTATTGTGAGAGTTACGACATACATCATAGTTTATAAACTGATGTATATATTGTGAAATTTTTTATATTTGATATGTTTCATGAACTTGCATGCATCTTGTGAGGCTTATAATGTTTATAGTGTTCTATAAACTGATGTGAATGTTGTGAAACTTATGATGTTTATATATTCTGTAAACTGGTTTACATATTCTAAGATCTGTGACATTCATTATGTTTTATACACTGGTTACAATGTTGTGAAAGTTCTGGTATTTGTTATGTTATATGAAGTTGGTGCACCTTGTGAGAATTATGTTCACTGTGTTTTATAAACTAGTGTAAACATTGTGAGAGTTACGACACTCATTATGTTGCATAAACTGGTGTAAATGTTTCAAGAGTTCTGAAGTTCATTATGTTTTATAAAATGATATGCATGTTGTGGAAGTTATGATGTTTTGTGTTTTCTTTACTGATATATGTGCTGTGAGAGTTATGATATGTTTTGTAAACTAGTGTGCATATTGTTAGACTTAGGGAATTCGTTATATATATTATAGGATGCTGTGTGTGTGGTTTAATGTATGTGTGAGAGTTATGGTATTCATTATGAATTTTAATTTGACACAGATTGCATTACTTATGGAGGGAGGAGGCGGTACACACTGGACAGGCGGGTTTATCCTTCTTCACTGTGATGTGGAGGTTCGTGAGAACACGCATTATCATTGCTGTTCTCATTTACACCTTGGGTCTGGCATTCAGCATTCTAGGGCATGTAAGACGAATTTTTAAGCTTACATCTTCTTTAATATCCATATCGAATTTTACCATATTTAAGCACATAACCTCTTGCCTTATTTCCTGGTTGATACTTACAAGTTTCTTGATTCAGAAACCCTTGATCCAAGACGTTTTTCTTCTTTGTGATTTATCCGAACTTGTCATCTTCAAATGGAAGCATGAAATATTATATAATTTATGAAGGTAAAGTCTGTAGAGAGCCGGTCACGGTAGCTAAGTGGTCTAAGGCATGTACTGTCTTTGCTTGCTTGGAAACCGGGATCTTTGGTTCGAATCCCACTCAGGGCATGGATGTTTAGTTTGTGTGTGTGCGTTTTTCTGTGTTTGTGTGCAGGTAGAGGCCTTGCGACGAGCTGATCACCCACCTAATGAGTCCTACCAAATGTGTAAGATCTAGAAAAACCGAAGTGAACAGAGAAGTTCATGGAGGGAGGCCTAGGCCCACTGGGGCTGTAGTGCCAAGGGGGGAAGAAAAGTCTGTAGAGGTAAACGTTTGTCTGATAATTTTCACATTCAGAATGGTCAAAAGAAGGAGATGCTTTAACACCACTACTTTGCTTTAGAATATACCGTTAGGAAGGTCCAGGAAAAGCAGGTTTGACTGAAATTAAATAGGACATACTCGTATGAGCTGCTGGTCTATGCTGATGTGAATCTACTGGGTGATAACTAGGGCCTGGATTTTTTTTAAAATGCGCATTTTGACGGTTTTTGGTCGTTATTGCATATTCTAAACTTAAAAGCATATTTCTGCATATATGTTTCAAATTAAGGATAATTAAGGATGAAACAACTGATTTATGTGGCCGATGCATAGCAAATTTCGTAGTTGTTAAGCTACATCCAGACGAACCCGGCAAACCTCTTCTTCTTGCTTGCAAAGTACTAGAGAAACCCAACCATAGCACAATAACAAGATATATAAATGATTCTCTGCGACTACTATGGCCATTTGAAATTGAGAATAATTGTTGTAAGGTGCTTGTGTCACTCACAGATAGAGCTTCCTACCTGTATATGTTGAAAGCAGCAAAGGCCTTACAAGTATTTTATCCAAATCTTATACACGTAACCTGTTTAGCTCACGGATTACACTGTATTACAGAAAAAATACACGCACAGTTTCCAGCTGTTAACGATTTAATTGCAAATGGGAAAAAACTGTTTCGGAAAGCACCAGCTTGTGTCCAGTTCTACAAAGATTGCCTACCTCAGGTTCCTGTGCCACCTGAACCTGTCCTAACTAGGTGGGGGTCATGGTTATCCATAGTTTCATTTTATCAGGAGAATTTCAATCAAGTAAAAGAAGTGGTTACAAAACTTGAAGATGAGAATGCCTGTGTCCGTGAAGCAAAAGTGGTGTTTGGAAGTGATACTGTTTATCAAGATGTGAATTTTAGCCATGCACATTTTTGTACAGTTTTAAAAGCCATTGAGAGCTTAGAATCTTGTGGTGCACTCCTTCACGACTCACTTGAACTCGTTCAGAAAGCAACTTGTTCACTGAATTCCGCTCCAGGCGAAATTGGAGAGAAGATTAAATTCAAGTTAGAAAAGGTGTTGAAATCGAACCCAGGACTAAAAAAGATTCAGTCAATTAGTCAGTACTTGAGTGGAATTAGGGTATCTTTGCCAGATGAATGTTCCGAACCTTCAGCACCAGTGTATAAATACTGTCTAATCACGTCAATTGATGTAGAAATATAATTCTCAGCCTATAAACTAATTTTGACGGACAATAAACGTAGTTTGTCTCCAGAAAACATTGAAAGACTTCTAGTTGCCTATTGTGATGCTACTTTCTGCAGTGCATGATACATGTAAATAGGTGAGTCTGAATGAAGTGACCTGCTTCTTAAGTGCATATGGTTTTATTTTTGGTGCATATTTTCCCGCTTTTTAGCGGATTTCTTTAGTGTTTTTAGCGCATTAATATCCAGGCCCTAGTGATAACATAGATACCATAAAGAAAAACACAAAATCTTTAATTGACACTTGTAAGGAGGTTGGCCAAGAAGTAAACACAGAGAAAACTAGGTATATGTTGCTGTCTTGTCACCAGAATGCAGGGCAAAATCATGACATAAAAATAGCTAACAGATGTTTTGAAAATGTAGCACAGTTCAGATATTTGGGAATGACTATAAGAAATCAAGACCTGAATCAGGAGGAAGTTAAGAGGATATCGAATTCGGGTAATGCTCTCTATCATTCAGCCGAGAACCTTTAGTCTTCTCATCTGCTGTCTAAAGATATAAAAATTAGAATATACAAAACTATAATTTTGCCTGAAGTTCTCTGTGGGTGTGAAACTTGGTCTCTGACATTAAGGGAGGAACACAGACTCAGAATATTTGAGAACAAGGTGTTGAGTATATTTGGACTGAAGAGAGATGAAGTGATGGGAGGTTGAAGGAAACTGCATAATGAGGAGCTTCATAACTTGTGCTCTTCACCACATATAATTAGAACGATTAAGTCAATGAGAATGAGATGGGCAGGGCATGTAGCATGAATGGGGAGAAGAGGAATGCATATAGGATATTGGTGGGAGAGCTGGATGAAAAGAGACTACTAGGAAGACCAAGATGTAGATGGGTGGATAATATTAAAGAGGATTTTAGAGAGATGGGATTTGATGGAATGGTATGGATTTGATTAATCTGCCTCAGGATAGGAACCACTGGAGGGCTCTTGTGAACACAGTAATGAACCTTCAGTTTCCATAAATGTTGGGATGTTCGCAAGTAGCTGTGCAATTGGCAGTTCCTCAAGAAGGGTGTCAGCTCCATGAATGAGTGAGTGAAGGCTTCTGTATTATGACACCATGCAGTCTTGTAGGTGGATTTTTACGTTTCTGTGAAACATGCTGTCTCCATATCCAGTGTCAAAGTGAATATGGTGAGGACATGGTTGGATTATGTAGGTAGACTGGAAGGAAGTGGGCACTCATGTCCAGGGGGGGGGAGGAGATGGAGACCAGTTGTTACAGCCTGCCTACATAATGTAACCTCATCTCATCACAGTCACTTCTACCCTTAAAATGGAGGCAGGATGTTTCTCCAAAAATGTTGGTATTCACCTAAAATATAATATGGTGTCACATAGAAGAAGACCACAATATGAATGTTTACATATTCTTAAGACATGGTTTTGCTCCTTGACAGGTGATCTGTCTAGAAGGCTTTCTCATTGCAATGAAGAATATTACACTTACTAGTGATCGTAACAGTACCAGTGCAACAGTAGCTGAAAGCGGCAGCAATGTTATGAGGACAGAGGCACTGATGTGGGCCATCGGTATCATTGCTACTGAGCTGCTCTCAGTGTTGTTGGTTTCCTGGAACTGGAGCATCACTTGCAGGTTAGCATGTGTTTGTATATAAAGGTGTTTAACGTTGAGCACCTTGTTTCCTTGCATTACATTCTAGGAACAGAATAAGTATGGTGTAGCCATTAAATATGCAGTACAGAAAATGCCGCTACTCAGATCCAGAACAGCTGGGTCTCTAGGGACACATTACACCTGGCATGGAGAAAAGACAAATATTGAAATGTAATTTAACATAATTAAAAATGCAGTCATAAAATTCTTTGATTTCTTCACAGTTCCACATAAACAAAATAGTTAAGTTGTTTTAACATTTAAATGCCGAACTTTTGAAATGGTGGTAGCTTGAGCTGGTGGGAGTTTATTTAAATGCCCACTGCTTGTGTGCATTTAAATGCCTGTTCCTGTTAGAGTGCTTACACTGTATTTGAAAATGCTGTATCTAATACAATTTTTGTGGTAAATGAATGGAATTAATTTGTTTTCATCAGCAGAGAACACAGTGTCGCATATTATAACATAAGATTTAAAAACATGTAGACGAAAACTTATAAACCATTTTTATTTTTTCTTGTAATTTTGATGCATACTGTAAAAATGGTTTCCCACTTCTTCACATAGTAATTCTGCATTATAAAATCATTCCTACTTGTAACACTTGAAATATTTTAGCATTCTCTGGTGCCATAAAACAGTTGGAAGCAATAAAGTAATTTGCTTCTCTGCTGGCAAGTTCTACATCTTTGTTACACTCCTCAGATATTCCAATCATTTGACTAAAGGACAGAAAAGTGAAAGCATGGCCTTTCAAGAAAGACTGGAGGGAATATTCATTGTTCCTTACTTCAGTGCCAAGCCCTGCCATTACAGCTGCAAGAGAATATTGCCATTTCAGTGGTTGCAACCCAATGCTTGCATCACAGCTGAGATACAGAGTGCATTCAGTTTTCTTTGAGTTCATAGTGAATTTGAATATTGTAGTTTCATTTTATCATACAATGACAGTAAAACGTTGTTTGGAAGATAATGAAATTGAAAGGCAGTTAAAATGCAAGATATATGACGTGGGACTGTGCTTTCTTGGGTGCTTCAAGGAGTATTACGCAAAGGCGAGCTTCAGTTAAATTACATGGGGGTTGAAGCCTGTATATATGTCGAGCAGATAACAAAGAAATGTATGTATATTGAATTTTGCTATATTTAGAAATAAATATTTAGGATTGTGCATATGCTTCTACTGGTAGCATGTACGCAAGCTTCAGTAGTGGCATTAAATGCTTGAATGCACAAATTGGGGTACTTTGGCTATGACTACCATACTCATCAGTGTAATGATCAGTGCACTTCAGACATTAAAGATTACAGTAAAATTGAACAGAGATATATCAGTATTTCAACTAGGCTGCAGGTTGGTTGATTGGAGAACTGGGATTTGCTCCCTTGCTGGGGCAGAAAACTTTCTTTCCTCCATAGCATCCATACTGGCTCTGGTGCTTACCCATTCTACTGACCATTGCCTGAAGGGTGAGTCTTTCATGGGGGGGTAAGTGGCTGGGTTGTGAAGCTGATCAGTCACTCAACTTGTATTGAGATTAGAAACTTGAGGAGCTATGCCTGAAATTCCATGCTTCTTTATGGTGTAGTGCTTACATAAGCATAAGGTCAACATTGCTTTTAGTTTTCCTTAAAACAATTAGTCTGCAAATTCAAACAGTGAGCCAACTGAACTGAATAACCGGACCTTAATTCTACCCTCTGAAGCTTCATATTATAGTGTGTAGACCCATTACTAGGTAACAACAGCGGAACAAGCAACAAAAGCATGGTTGCTGCTAGACAGCAAATTCTTAACAAACAACAGTTGAACTACAGCAGTGAGGAACAGTGTTTTCTGAGCAGTTCGTGCTGAGATGTTATATCAAGGAGAGTTTGGAACAACAGTTCAGTTGTGGGATATTTGCCATACAGTAAGGACGTAAGCACAGAGACTGAAGAATCTCCACTGTTAATATCTGTTATGTATGTATGTATGTATGTGGAAATAGTAGTGAAAGCAGACTGAGCAGGCTTAACGTGTGTTATGGTGATTTGTAGACTGTGGAGATTAGTGATAGCATTATAATTACTTGTAGTTACAATCTGTAAGTGGTCAGTAAATTGAGCCCCCAAACCCCATCTATAGCCACACTCCATACACATGACAATATGTATGATATATAGGAGCATGGGGCAACAAAAGTTATTTGATTTCATTGTGGTAACAGGTGGCTTTTAACTTATATTCAGTTCTTGGTAAGAAATATAAGTGAAATTGTCAGCTCCTCAGATCGTTATGAAAAATTAGAGTACACTAGAATTAAGTACAGTTATTATGAGCTTTATTTGTTGCTTTGTATGACTGTAGTTTAGTCCAATATGAAACTTTTAATCCATCAGTTCTGAGAGTTGTTCTGTCACCAGTATGTTCTGTTTGCTTCAGTCTCACTGTATCATACTTTTACCATACTGTTGCATGCTTGTTAACTTGAGTTTATGTTTCAGGACAGCAACAAGATTGCGTTCGGCCACCTTGGCTCTCATCTACAGCAAGCTGGTGCAACTTTCCAATTTGAACACAATCTCAACACAGCAGGTGAGCATCTGTTTTTGTGAACTCTTTCAACCAGAACACCACATAAACACAGCAGGTGAACATATGTTTCCGTGTGCCTCTCCAACCTGAAAACCGTCTCAACACAACAGGTGATCATCTATTTGTGTAAGTTTCAAACTGAATATTGTCTGAACACAACAGATGAACATTTGTGTGGGCTCTTTTCAACTGCATATCATGTTATCACAACAGGTGAACATCTCTTTGTATGGCCCTTTCCAACTTAATATCACCTAAACACTGCAAGTGAACATCTCTTTGTGTATACCCTTTCAACCCGAACATATCTCATTGCAGTAGGTGAGTGTGTGCTTTGTGTGATACAGTGGAGATATAGACTGATAGGATTTCTGAATTTTCTTTTGCACTTTCTTCCAGATGGTCATGCTCTTGGGGACAGATGGGCAGAAACTGTATGAAGCAACGATTTATGGGCCATACATCATCACAGCACCACTTGTGTTTGTGTCTTGCATTGTATCCTTCATCTTTATTTCGACTTGCAGTGGTGTTGATGCACTGATAACAACATGTGTGCTTTTTCTCACATATCCACTGCTGGTGAGTTTTGATTTGTGTTAGAAATGATCCTTTATTTTTGGAACAGTGAATTAATACTGTTCAATCTGTTCTTAATGCATTCACTGCCAATCCTGTCGTCTGCACAGGCATCAAGTGATCAGCTATAATTATTGTGTATGTATATATATCATTCTCTCCTACAAATAATCATACACCCACAGAAAAACTAGCTTGTCATAGCTTTTTTTTATTGCTAGTGGAGTGGGACTAAGTCCCTTGTACTGCGGCCACTTCTGGCCTGTTGTGCCAGCCCCAGATGACAGGTGAGGGTGATTGTAGAGCAATTGGTGGAATGAAGATTGGCAGGGGAAACTGAGGTACTCAGAGAAAACCTGCCCCAGCGCCACTTTGTCCACCACAAATCCCACTTGACCACACCCGGGATCGAACCCGGGCCGCCGCGATGGGAAGCCAGTGACTAACCGCTTGAGCTATGGCGTGACCCTTGTCATAACTTGAAACAGATAAAATATACGGTAATTTTCAGCTATTTTTGCTTGCTATACTCCATTTCCAACGCAGCAAGTACAAAGTCTAGTTTCTGTTGAAAGAATGGTTCCTCCAGCAGGCAAAGTCATAGCAAGTTGGCATAACAGTAAATGTATTAATTTTTAACCAGTGAACGTTTTAGCTTTAGAATGCACTAATTCCCCTAAAAACGTGAAAAATCAGAAGCTGAAAGCAGTAGGTGGGTTGAATGTATTCGAAAATTTGACACTTTGATGTCTTCTGATTTCCAGGTGTGTCAGCAGGTGTGACTAAGAAGTCTAAGTAAATTAAATTTAAGTTTGTTCATACATTAATCAGAACTGTAGGTCAGCTCACAACTTTGCCGCTTTTATTTAGAAAATTATGCATCAGGAAATGTTCTGTAAAGTATGTATAATTTCTATGAGCCAGGGTAACGTAGTTGGTATAGTGACTGGCTATGGGCTGGACGACCAAGGGGTCAGAATTAGAGTCCTGGTATGGTTGAGAATTTTCCTTTCTCCATGTTGTCTGGACTGGCTCTGGGGTCCACCCAGTATCATATCCAATGGTACCAGGGGGCTTTTTCCCCAGGGATAAAGCAGCATAGGCGCAAAGCTGACCATTCACTTCCAGCTAGTGATGAGATCAAGAAAATGTGGATCTCTACATCTACTCCCCCTTATGCATTCATGGTGTAGTGCTTAATTAGTTAAGCACAGGGACAACTTTACCTTTATGTGAAATTTGTGTTGATAAATAATTTATTTACCTTACATCCACCATTATTTTAAAAATTACTTCTCAGTAATGCATGCTTTGTGTACATTTATGGGCACACATAAATTTATCATTCAGTACCCTTATAATTGCAGTGTGTACTGGTTCGGCTTACAAGTCTCTTGACTGCAAGAGCCACAGCACTCTGTAATCGGCGGCTGGCACTTGTTTATGAGATGCTGGTTCACATCAGACTTGTTAAAATGACTACACGGGAAAGCTTGTTATTACAACAGGTCACAGGTAAACTGTTCATACTTCTATCAGTTCTTACTGGCTTTTATATCCTTATTTCAGAATTCATTGTATCTTCATTTTCTTGCAGGGGCTAGGCACAAGGAGCTGGGCTTCACAAAGCAAGAGTGCTTTATTGATGGGTTCTGCACATCCATGACACAAGCCATACCAGTTATGGCGCTTCTCCTGTACCTCTCTTTTAATGTGGACCTTGAAGCTTTCCAGGTCTGTGGTTTTCTTCAGTTTCAGTATAGAAATGAACATTTTTATTGCCCTGTACACTGAGAGATGGGAGATGAACCGCTAAAGAGAGACTTTTCTGTGAAAACCCTTCTCAGGATTCTACAGATTTAGGATTTCTTACTCCTTCCATTTGGAATATGGAAGAACTTGAGTAAGCAGTGGAAGGAGCTTATTGTTATAGCTGTTTACATGAAAGATGATAAAGATGACTAGTGATAGAATCATCATGCTTTTGGACATTATCCATCATCCTGTTTTTTTTTTATGTAAACAATGTTTTATAGACTGGATTCTGTCTCCGTCTTCAGGTAAAAGACTACTCAGCTGGGCCCACTTGATGGAACTACTCCCTAGCTCCTTATCCCTGTATATAGAAGCAATTTTGTATTTAGGGACCCATCTGAAGAACCCCTACTTTTGGAGTTAGAATATTTATACTTATTGAGCAGTGACCTATGATGGATATACTCTTAAATACCAAGAGTAAAATGTGAAGGTAAAGTTTTCCCCACACTTAATTAATTAAACACCATCCCATGAAGACATAGGGGGGTTGGATGTATATGAAAAAAGTTGGCAAACAATTTAGGTGATAGTGAGGTGCACATACATAAAGACAGACAAGATCCCAGAAACCACTTCTTCATATTCAGAGGTACTGAAAATCTGTAGATTTGTCGAAATCTCGAGATTGATTTCTTATTATGAAAGAAACAGATCTCAAGACATATCTTCATGTTAAGTACATGAGAAGTAAAAGTTAAGTTCTCGATGCACCATGCCATAAAGAGGTAAGAGAGTGGAAGTACAGCTCCACATACTTCTAACTTTTGAATTAGAAGGAGGTGAGTCTTCAACCGTTTCTTAGCTGTTTACCCCTGGGGAGGAGCCACCAGTACCTATTGAATAGGAGGCTGGGTAGGCTCCTGATCTGCTCTGGATACTTTGGAGAAGAGAAAGTCTCTTGCCTCTTCCAGGAATCAAATCCTAATTCCTTCACCATACAGGCCATAGCCCATCACTGCAGCAACTGATCTGCCCCAACTCACGTGAGTACTGTGCTTTCCCTAATGTAGTGAACATTTTCTGCCATAATTTTTGCTTTGTAGTATGTTATTTTTCAGTGATTGGCCTCTGTTCAGTTTACACAAGGAAGGGCTCAGTGAAATATTTACAGAAACTGCATTTTCCATCATGTTGAATATTTTCAAAGACGAGGTTTTTGGAAACTGAGTTCGTTTCCTTCATGAAGTGTAATGGAAGAGAGGGTCCTAATCAGTTGGGCCCATTAGAAAGACCCAGTCTCACTCTCTGGTCACCAAAGGAAGTTTAAAGCAGTGTGTGTATTCTGTTAATGTCAAGTATTATCACAGGGGGATGATAGGACTAGAAGAATTTGAATTTAATTTTTCTGTTCTTGTGGCTTCTATATTAATTATCGTTGGCAATTTTTCTATTCATATGTCCTTCAGATGATATTTGAAATTGACAGAATATGGGCTCTGCTTGGAACTGCTGCTAGTGTCCAGTGGTTGAAACTAGCTCTTCCAAATGGGCCCATCTGAATAAGAACTTCTCCATCACACTTGATGACAGAAAGTAATCCAGTTTCCATATTGCCAAGGTTGTAAAACTGAAACTGAACATGCTAAAATGTTACCATTGGTAACATTTTAGACTCCTGTTTTGGCGGTACTCCATTCAAATCTCAGCCGGGACACCAGCTATTCCAACTGAGTCCCACCCAGGCATATGCCAAGATAGTACTTCAACTAGGCCAAGACCACTTCCTTCCAAGTCCTTTTCAATTTGTTACTGTTTTCCTAGCATTTGACATTGTGCAGTCTGCATTACTGAAAGTGCCATAAAATTGACCACCAAGTAAGAAATAGGGCCTCAAGACAGTGAGCATTGCCCAGAATAAGTTAAGTGTATTACAACAAATCATTGTCAGAACTACTTAGCCTTACTTCATTTTTACAGAGAGAGTGATAGGAAGAGAATCAAATGTGAGCATGATTTATTATCTCCTTCTGTATTCCTATCAGATGTCATCCACCTAGTAATGCACTGTGTGGACCTTTCATCTCATGCATAGCAGTTGGTACAACTTATTTACTTGTGATCTATCTGACTTTGTGCTCTTTTATGGTTCTTGCTTGTTAACTCTTAACGTTTTTGCAAAGTCTTATGTCTGGAGTGAACTGATTTTGAACTCTCATTATTATCTTCTCTGTTTCAGGTGTTTCCAATATTGGCTTTATTCTTTTATCATATGAAGAATTCCCTTTTTAGATTTTGGCTTGGAATAAAAACGATTTCAGATGTACTTCCATCATTAGAGCGGTTTAAGGTAATTGTCTTTTGATTATATTTTCTGACATTATTTTTGTGTTTATTATTTCTGTGATGTGCAAAGCTGTGATTGCATCTTGTAATAGCACCTCTGCTAATGGCACAGTCGCTGCTATGTCATGGTGAGAGACAGAGTGCTACAAGCATTTCTGACTGGGCAGAGAAGAAAGTGGAGTTAAAGATCCCAGGACTTCCCTTCTTCCTACAGCTGAATGTGCTGTCCTGTTATTTTACAAGCCATTTTGCACATGTACTGTTCAAACTGGGCAGTTTTTATATTCAGTTATGTAGGACTTCATGGTTTTGCATATTGTTTTCATAAATATTGTATGGCTATTGTTCATTTCAATGTCTGGTACTTGAGGGTTCATTTGGTCTCTACATAAAATTGGTGTAAGAGGCCATTGTCTCTCATTGCTTGTCAGCTTATTATTGTGTCATTTTAGTTGAATTGAAGTGCAGAACTAATCTGATGTAGTTATGAGAGGATCAGAAGATGGCTGCAATAAATAGCAGTGTTTCAGTTGGTAAAACTGTGTAGACATTTGCCAGAACAGTTTACCCCTAGGCCAGTAATTCTTAAGTTCTGCATCTTATGTCTAACTGGTCAAAGAACCTCAGTGCCATCTTAAGAAAGAAAAAAGTTTGTCCTTCCCCCTATAAGTGTACTTTCACAATTATGATCATTTTATTATTATGCTACAAAGTGCAATTTCTTATTTTTGAGACCTCACATCCCGTCCAACTGGCTGTCAAGTCTCAACAGTGGGATATGCCCCACCCATTGAGAAACACTGCTCTAGACTATTTTATTTATACTTACACTATGAAGCTCTCTTTCTTCAAATTTTCAAATTCTTAGCCTGAAATCATGAGTTCAAAGTGTCTGTCATTGGCTGTATTGTGTAAGAGGGGAACAGTGGAAGGATTGGCTGAAGAAACTAAGGGAATTGTCAAATTTTACCATTGAATTTTTGTTTTTCAACTAGAACAAGGTAATGAAAATACGCATTGTACACTACAGCATGAATAATTTTGAGGAATATTATCCTCTGCACAGCCTGGCAGAAGTTCAGTCACATTTAGAGTAATATATATTGCCTCCATCTTAAGATTTGAAGGTGGAGTGAGTACATTCCTGCACAATATCTGCGAACTTCTACTGGACTACGCAGCATCAGAGCCCAGAAGATAATAATCTCCACGGTCATCAGTATGAGAACCTCAAATTCAACATGATTATTTTATTTATTTGCCTATGCTGAAGTTTGTGTCCTGCTTTACATGGGTAAATGAATCTACAGCTGCCTAATGCTCACAAGCTGACTGTACTGAAGTTTGTTTACTGCTGTACATGTGTATATGAGTCTGCAGCTGGACCAAACACTTACAGTCTGTCATTACCATTTTCAGGCTGTAATGCTCCTTAATGAGACCAACAAGTTTACTGAGAAGCCCATCAATCGATTGATGGCAGTGAATATCTCGAATGCCAGCTTTGTGTGGGACAGTCTGGAAATTCAAGAAAATGACCAGAAGAAGAACAAAAAGAAAAACATGAAGAACATGAAGAACCAATCAAAAAGACCATTGTAAGTTTTAGCATTATGTCTGCAGAGAGAAATGCTCAGTGGTATCAAAGGCAGGAGAGGATTCAGAGGACTGATTAGAGTTTCTTTAGAAGCTGAAGTCTAAGCGAAGTCTGAGTCACATGCATGGTGTAGTTAGAGTACTGGAAGATGTAATGTCTGGTCCATGAACTGATGAAACGATGCAAATTTTTAAAGTTATTTGCTTCCAACTCTATTGGTTACCCATGCCAAATATTCTGCACTTTTAAAAAATGGTGATATTATGATAGCTACTAAAACACAAAAGCAGTAAATTTGTCTTGTTTCCTGTGTATTTTTAAATATATATATGAACTTCACATGTAATGTAATACTGGTTGTATATGGCAGGACTATGAAAAGCCACGAACTGGTCTGGTTTATCCTGAAACACTATGGTTCAGACATGTGGGTATGCTGCTTTCTCTCAGATCATGTGGTTTTACATGAATTTAAGTGATTAATTAGATTTCATTTAATGCCTACTGTAAAAATTAAGAACTCTGTATTTGAAATTTTGATCTGAAAATGTTCATAGGTATATGCTTCTACTCCTTGAGCATGTGATTCATTCATTTCCTTTATTTTCCATATATCTGTCTAGGCAAAAAACCTAAGCTGTGGAGATAGTCCCTTTGATAATAGATGTATACATGTGATAAATTACATAAGTCACACACCTAAAATAATAACAATAATAATAATACACACACTAGTCAAGTAACATATTCAATAGAAAAAAAAAACAAAAACAAGAAGCTTATTGCAATTGTAATTACTAAACATAATTTAAAAATTGCATTACTATAAAAATAATAGACATATACATGTAATAAATTACATAAGTCACACAACTAAAATAATAACAATAATAATAATACAGACACTAGTCAAGTAAAATAGGCAATAGAAAAAAAAAACAAAAACAAGAAGCTTATTACAATTGTAATTACTAAACATAATTTAAAAAGTGCATTACTATAAAAACTTAGAATTAATACAATTTCACTCAGATTACCCAAATAATTAATTCTTTATTTCATTTTCCCATAAATCAAAAAAACATTGATACAGGACTCGTCATATACATACAT